AACAGGCTTCTTCACTCTGTAATCCCCAGAGGTAAGAGCCTCAGATCTTGCCAACAATGAGACTTAACTCCCAAGATGATTTGGAAAATCTATTATGTGAAAAGAAAATGTCCAAAGTATAATGTATAGGAACTATGAGTTGCACATCATGATGCATTTGTATAAGGCAAGTAATGATTAAACCAACATGAAATAGCAGCAGCCTTGGTCCCTGTAGTGAAGGACACCACTACAAAGTGCAATCTCCATCAGTCCAAAAAGTGTTGAGCTACAGAGGCTAAGGTCAAGGTCTTTCAGCTCTCAAAAATCGGTGCTAAAAATCGGTGTATTAACTTTTGGAGAAACAAAGCTATTGATTGAGGCTTGCATGTGTATGAGATGGAACCATAATGATCCTCATTCCTTTTGTCTTATTCTTACTTTCCCTCCAATATTAAGCAATTGTTTCTATTAGGAAAAAAAATGTTGATGATTTCCTCAAACTGACAGTGTTCAAGAGCTTCCAGCCTAATTTCTTCTTTTGGCTGTCATCAACATAGTGAGCACATATGCTTCAGACATTTAGATATATATTGGTTCTTCTGTGTCACAAAGGCTTAGATATGAGCTACAACTGATAGGTGATGGAATTACTAAACAATAGCATTTTAAATTTTATGAAACAAATGGATTAATTTTTATAATATCAAATGTATTATTTGCAATATGAAGAGCATCTGTACTATTTGTGCTTTTTAAAAATAAATTTTAAATCTTAAAAATATTTTAAATATTTAATTATTTAATACTTATTATTTAATAAATAGTTTTATATTTTGATGACTTTAATATTTTTTGAGAATTTCATACATGCATACAATATATTATGACCATGTTCACTCCCATTCCATCCCTCCAACTTATCCTAGGACCCAATCACCACATAATCCTCATGTCTTATTTATTTACTTTTTTATTTGTTTGTTTTTCATACATCCAACTGTATTCAACTAGACAGTCTAAATGAGCATTAGTGTAGGGCCTTCCAGTGCAGTGTTAGTAACCTACCAGGAGCCACACACTGAAGAAAACTTCCTCTCACCCAGAAACTATTAACTGCCAATAGCTCCTCAGCTAGGGAAAAGACCTGTGAAGCCCTTGCCAATACATGGTGGACACTAACTGACTTGATGTTGTGCAGGCAACCACAGCTGATATGGGTGCATGAATGCAATCACCCTGTCATATTGAGAAGATAGTGTTTGCCTTCCCAAATTTCTGACTTTTGCAATCTTTCTGCTTCTAAAGAATCAAACTGAATTTTTTTCTTATGTGTGGCAGGAAGTCAGTGGATGTGACAAAAACTCATTAGAGCCCCTCTCACCTACGTGGGAGAACTTGGCTGTTTCTAATTAGTTATATTATTTCTATAAAAGGTGTGATGTAAAAATGCTGTTAACATAATTAAAATAACAGAACTGTGAATGGCAGGTATGAAAAAGAGAGTTGAATTAATAACTGAGTACTGAAACACTCTATTTGGTAGTCCTGCTTCATATGTGGTAGGTATTAGTTCTAAAATGTCGGCATTTTGTAGTTTTATGGATTGCTTTCTTTCATAACCAGAAAACACGGTTTCACTTCAGTCCCCATTTTTCTGTCTTTTGCAATCTTTCTACTTCCCTACCCCTTCAATGATGGCCCCTGGGACAAAAGAGTAATTATATAGATTTCTTATCTCAACAACATGCAATTTGTTAATTAACTCGATATATGTCTAAGATGTTATCCTTCCCCATACTCTGACCAACACTCTGCTTCCATCTTCCATTCCATTTCTTTTTGAATGATGATTTTGCAAACCAGTCACTTAATTGAAAATGGTTTTCATAACTAAGATTTTCTGGTGGAGTCTTTAGTATACAGTTTAGGTATAGGATCATGTCATCTGCAAAAAGGGATAGTTTGACTTTTTAATATAAAAAAGAAAAATAACATTAGATTTCTATAAGCATAAAATTTTCACTCAATAATTCATTCCATATAATTTTCTGACTCCCTATTGTTGAGGGTTTTTTATATAAATAATATATCAAAGAACTTGTATTACTACAAATATCCTATTACTGATAACCTGAAACATCAATTCATATTTCAGTTTTAATTACTGTAAATATGTTGAAGAAAGAGCACCATAGCATTATATTTAAGAAAACTTCTTGCTCCATAGATCATATGATCAACAGGTAATTCCCTCCATGTTGAGGGTGATTAAATTGTGTGCAACCTAACATGGCTCTTCTTTGATAAAGCTTATCCAGGATACCAGCCATTACTGAGGTTCTCGGAGTGTAAATTAAAGGATTCTGCAAGGGGGTTATGGCCAGTTAAAGTAAAACCAAAACCTTGCTAGTGGGGGAGATTTATAAATAGATTTTGAATGCCTAAATGAAATAAACTAGAGAGTATCTTCCAAATGATGATCCTTATTATTCAATTTAACTAGTACATCAGCATAATGAGGAGATATGTTGTGAATATTGGATAGAAATTGTTGGAAACAAAAATACTTATTTCAGTGTGGTATCATTTTTGTCTAGCAAATCCAAGGAATTAACAAAAATTTCATCACATTGGATAAAGATTCCTGATAAGGTATAAGAATTCATGGTTTATACAATCCCTCCTCTCTTTCGCTAAAGGTATGTTTGTGGATTTTGGGGGACCTCTCTAGCACTTTGCTTCTTCCTATTCCCATGGGGTCTTCATTTAGCGAGAGATGTTGAGACCATGATTGGAAAAAGCACAGGAACAAATAGCCAAACTAGTGGAAACACATGAACTATGAACCAATAGCTGAGGAGCCCCCATGGAACTGGATCAGGCCCTTCTGGATAAGTGAGACAGTCGATTAGCTTGAACTGTTTGGGAGGCCCCCCAGGCAGTGGGACCAGGACCAGGACCTGTCCTTAGTGCATGAGCCGGCTTTTTGGAGCCTGGGGCCTATGCTGGGACACTTTGCTCAGCCTGGGTGAAGGGAGGAGGGGACTGGACCTGCCTTGACTGAATCTACCAGGCTGAGCTGAATCCCCAGGGGAGTCCTTGCCCTGGAAAAGGTGGGAATGGGGGGTGGATTGAGGGGAGGGTGGGGGGAAGGGCTCAAGGGGGAGAGCAGGAGGAAGGAGTACAGGAGAATCCATGACTGATAAATAAAATTTAATTAATTATAAAATAAAAAAACAATTCATGGTTTAAATTCCTTACACATTTGTCATCACTAGAAAATGCAGAATAGAAAGCATTTTTAAAGTATAATTAAAATAATACAGAGTACAAAAACTCAAAGAAAAAATTTGAAACTGATTGATGAAAACAAACTGAGAAAAAAGTAATGATGGATTCTTGGATTCTAGGACTTGCAATATAATAGCTTTTCCTGGTCCCCAAAGAAAGATTTATTGAGATCAAGATATCAGCTCTTCTCTAAACTACCTACACAGCACACCACCAGCCAAATCTATCCTATCATGGAAATGTTGTTTGAATAAGATGATTTAATAGGATATATTTTATTACTTTTCAGAACCTGAACATCTAATAATAAAAATTAAATTAGGAAAAAGATCCATTCACCAAATTAAATTGTCTGCAAAGAGATCAAAAGAACACAAACATAAAATATAAAGGACAGGGTACATCATCAAGCCAGGAAATAGTTTTAGGACAACCAAAAGGGACAATTATTAAAATAAAAATAAAATACCAAGGTTTACAAGGCATAGCAGGTAGATTGTGAATTTCTCACCATAGAAATAAATACTATGAGTGAAAATAAAATGAAAATTAAGTCAATTTTCCACATCAATGCTTACACAATTCAAAACAACATGAGTGGATAGATTACAGATTGTAAGTATCTTAATCTAGAAAAATATTTACAAAAAATTACTTCAAACTAAAACTTAATTGAATTAGAATTTTGTATTAATCAAAATAAATGAAAGTAGTGCAGAAAAACTATAAATAGAAGAGATTTTTAATAAACATGACAATACAGAATTAGTTGAAAGGAAAACCCAAAGAATTTCACCAAACCAATTATATTTAAAAAACATTTAGGATAAAAAAAAAATCACATCTGTCCTAAATGGAGTATCTCCATCGAATGCATCCCTTCAAGCTTAAGGACCTATTCAGAAAAGATGGTGGAAAGATTGTCAAAGGGGGATGAATTCAAGGAGCTTCGTTTTTCTGACACTTTTGCATTTATGAGAGACTGGGACAGCATGCACACTGCCTGTACAGATTCAAGCCACACGAAATCCCACCACTGAAAAGAAAAGGGACACAAAGTTCCATACCTAACCAAGAAGCCTTCTATAATTGATTCCTACTGAGCAAGGAAAAAGTAGAATTCAACTGGATTGTTATTAGGTATATCAGCCACACTCCAGGACAGATACCATGTCCAAGAGTACTTGGCCAATAGAAAATGAACTCCATGGGTTTGGTTTGCTTTGCTTTGTTGTTTGGGTGTGTGGCAGAGGTCATTTTGTTTGGTTTGGGATTTTTTTTCTCTTGTTGTATTTTTTTGTCTGTTTATTTTGATGTTTTTTTATGTTTGTTTTTGGGAGGGTTGAGAGGGAAAGTACAGAAAAGCAGGGGGAGATAGAGAGAGAGAACATGAACTTGGTTGAAATGGGAAAGTAGAAGGATCTGGGCAGATATGGGAGAGAAGAAAAAAACATGAATTAAATACATTGTAAGAAAAAAATTAGTGAAATTTTGATATAAACTAAAACAGGCAATTCATCAAAAATGGTTAAATAGGATAACTAAAAATGAATTATATGATAAGCAAATACACTAGTTATTTAAAAAATCAGAACAAAAAGTATTTACAAATTACATTCACAATACAAGCAGTTTTACAATACAAGGGTTAGTGTGAATGTTCAAGATGGAACACATATTACTAGAATTTATTCAAGGTTGTTGCACGGTGCTTAGTAATACAAGCATCAAGAAGAAAGGCTTAATCTATTGGGACTTAACACTTTTTGCAGGAGCTTTTCTATAGAATTTTTCATCTCTGAATTTCTCAATGTATATATTAAAGGATTCAACATGGGAGTGACAATAGTATAAAATACAGTAATAGATTTATCAACAGGAAAACTAGAAACCGGTCTAGCATACATGAAAATACAGGGAACAAAAAAGAGGAAAACCACAGTGATATGGGAGCCACAGGTGAAAAGAGCTTTACGCCTCCCTTCCTGACTGTGATTCTTGAGAGATCTTAGGATGATTCCATAAGAAAGTAGGAGGAGGAAGAAGATCACTATACACATGGCCCCATTGTTGACAGTGGCAGAGAGGCCAATGAAGTAGGTATCAGTGCATGCAAGTAGCAATAATGGGTATGTGTCACAGACAAAGTGGTCAATGATATTAGGACCACAGAAAGAAAGTTTACACACAATAAGAACTTGAAACAAAGCATGTGCAAAACCTCCTGCCCAGGCCATCACTAAGAAGATGATGCATACCCGTCGATTCATGATAATCAAATAATGCAGGGGCTTACAGATGGCCACATAACGATCATAGGCCATTGCCACCAGAATGACAATATCAACACCACCAAATAAATGCTCTATAAA